TGCCCCGGGGTGCACTGACAGAGGAGAGGCCTGCTGAGCGCTGGCGCCACAGGTCCCTCCGAACCATCAACAGGCAAGGTGGGTTAGGTGTATTGCCCAAGGACACAACAGCAGGATTCTATGGTTGGAGCTGGGATCGAACCTGCAACCTTCCGATTACTGGATAACCCGCTCTACCTCTTTGTCCCATATACAGGTGCTGGCCATTAAATTAGAATATCATCAAAAGGTTGAAAATATTTCAGTAATTCCATTCAAAACGTGAAACTTGTACATTATATTCATGCAATGCACACAGACCAATGTATTTCCAATGTTCATTACATTTAAATTTGATATTCATAAGTGACAACTAATGAAAACTCCAAATTTGGTATCTCAAAAAATTAGAATATTCTGAAAAGGCTGAATATAGAAGACACCTGCTGCCACTCTAATCAGCTGATTTACTCAAAACACCTGCAAAGGCCTTTAAAAGGTCCCTCAGTCTTGTTTTGAAGGCACCACAATCATGGGGAAGACTTCTGACTTAACAGCTGTCCAAAAGACAATCATTGACACCTTGCACAAGGAGGGCAAGACACAAAAGGTGAGTGCTAAAGAAGCTGGCTGTTCGCAGAGCTCTGTGTCCAAGCACATTAACAGACAGGCGAAGGGACGGAAAAAATGTGGTAGAAAAAAGTGTACAAGCTCTAGGGATAACCGCACCCTGCAGAGAATTGTGACGACAAACCCATTCAAAAATGTGGGGGAGATCCACAAAGAGTGGACTGCAGCTGGAGTCAGCGCTTCAAGAACCACCACGAGGAGACTCATGAAAGACATGGGATTCAGGTGTCGCATTCCGTGTGTCAAGCCACTCTTGAACAAGAAACAGCGCAAGAAGCGTCTCGCCTGGGCCAAGGACAAAAAGGACTGGACTGATGCTGAGTGGTCCAAAGTTATGTTTTCTGATGAAAGCAAGTTCTGCATTTCCTTTGGAAATCAAGGACCCAGAGTCTGGAGGAAGAGCGGAGAAGCACAGAATCCACGTTGCATGAGGTCCAGTGTAAAGTTTCCACCGTCAGTGATGGTGTGGGGTGCCATGTCATCTGCCGGTGTTGGCCCACTCTGTTTCCTGAGGTCCAGGGTCAATGCAGCCGTCTACCAGGAAGTTTTAGAGCACTTCATGCTTCCTGCTGCTGACCAACTTTATGGGGATGCAGACTTCACCTTTCAACAGGACTTGGCACCTGCACACAGTGCCAAAACCACCAGCACCTGGTTCAAGGACCATGGTATCCCTGTCCTTGATTGGCCAGCAAACTCGCCTGACCTTAACCCCATAGAAAATCTATGGGGTATTGTGAAGCGGAGGATGCAATACGCTAGACCCAACAATGCAGAGGAGCTGAAGATGACTATCAGAGCAACCTGGGCTCTCATAACACCTGAGCAGTGCCACAGACTGATCGAGTCCATGCCACGCCGCATTACTGCAGTTATTGAGGCAAAAGGAGCCCCGACTAAGTATTGAGTGCTATACATGCACATTCTTTTCATGTTCATTCTTTTCAGTTGGCCAACATTAGAGAAACAAACATTTTTTCATTGGCCTTTAGAATATTCTAATTTTCTGAGATACCAGATTTGATGTTTTCATTGGTTGTCACCTATAAATATCAAAATTAAATGTAATGAACATTGGAAATACATTGGTCTGTGTGCATTGCATGAATATAATGTACAAGTTTCACGTTTTGAATGGAATTACTGAAATATTTTCAACCTTTTGATGATATTCTAATTTACTGGCCAGCACCTGTATAAGGACACACACACACACACGCGCACACACACACATATATATGTGTGTGCGTGCGCGTGTATGTATATATATATATATATATATATATATATATATAATAAGAAATCAAAATTTTAAAAGAATAAAAAAACTTCATCATGGTTCTTTTCCTGCATCAAAGCAGCATTTATTTAATGTTTGTCTATAAAAACCTTCCTTGATGCAGGTTTAGCGTTACCACTAGGGTTAGGGTTAGCAAAAGGCAGGACTAACTATGACTTTCTTAGTGTCTCCCCTAGTTGATCACCTGGCCTCCTGATCTGTCTCGAGTCTAAGCATGGGGCTAGGACGGGGGTCAGGGTGTTGTCTTGGTGGGGTCTCCTCCGGGATAGGCTCTCTCCTGGCTTGACTCCACCCATCGCTGTAGTGACCAGAGAAGAGTGACCTCGGGAGGTAAGGGGTGTGAGACCAGGGATCTCCTGTGGGTAGGGCATCCTCTGCTCGTGTAAGAGCATTAGTTACGCTTCTACCTCCATGTGGTTCCCGCTGGTAATGTGCCTCCAAAAGAGGGGCATGACCAAAGGAAGCATAGCGTAGCATTGTTGCTATACCCAGCCAGAACATGTTACCCCTCCTTTCACATCCCTCCGCCCTTCAAAACAATTACATTTTACTGATCCATCACTGCAGGCCAAGGGCAGTTTCAGTTCCTTATGTTGTTAAATTCCATATTGAGATCCTGTGTCTAGTCATTATATTTGAACTCATTAATCATTTCAATTCAAAATGCACAAATCAAAACTAAGTAACTGCTTTAGACACAAGATAATGTACTCTCACCAGCAGATAAAAATCCTTTTGTACTATCTGACCTTTTGATGGGGACTTCTGCGCGTCTCTTATTCCCTCTTCCATCTCAGTCTCAGGAACCTGTTATACACTCATGCATTATTTTGGTCACACATTTAATGCTACGATATCGAGTTGGAACATCATGCAGGCTTTTAATGAACACCGCTGGGAACTCCTATTAAACACTGCATCTTCACAAGATTCCACAGAGGATTTTCCCACCTGGGTTGCCTGGTGCTTGATCCACAAGAGCAGCCTGTGTTGACAGAGGCCATTAAGACGATCCTCTTAGGAAAAGATAAATATATCAAACCAGAAAAAGTGGAGCAGAGTCCCAATTGAAGTGTGATTCTATAACAGGTTAATGCAACATGAGGTTGCTCACATCTGGGCTGGGGGTATCTACTATCTCTTTCACGCAGAACAATGTATGAAAAGGGTAAATATTGCAATAGGAATGTCAAAAATGCTTCCATCTGATGCCTGACCAAGAGGGTTGTTTTAGGAGTAAGTGCCTTTTCCTTTGGTTTGACAAAAATCCATGTTTCTGTGACGCACACAGAAAGATGTGGTCACATTTTTCGTATTGATGCTTTAACCATCTGATGTAATGTATTCCTGTGTGAAAAATATATATATTTAATGGATTCCAGGCAAAAAGGAAAAGAGAAACTTAGAGTCTCTAAGGACATTGTTATTATTAGTCTTTGTAAACTGTTCTGTAAAGGTAATGCACCTTAATGCCAGTAGAGGGCAGTGTGATACTTGGCAGCTGACCGGGACAGTTTGGCGCAGCCGTTAGCTTTTCCTCATTCTGCAATGAAGAGCTGACGCAGCAACACCAAACTGATGTCCTGTCTGCTCATTTGACTGTTTTTAACAGAATCACCTGTTGCATGGTCACATACCTGGGACCTGTAACATTTCCATTTTCAAATAACTTTTATATAATGTCTCTCCAAACCTGAACACATGGCTAATGTGACCAGGTACATTGTATTCTACGTAGGTGAAGATGTAATCAAGTATTTTTGCATGTCATAAACTACGTGATTCTTCATAATTATGCAACAAGTGCTAAACGTTATGAGGCAAATACATAGGAGCAGAACACACACACACACACACACAGAAAAACACGTTGGTTGAATCACCATTTGGGCAAGGCGTTGGTGCAAGTCTAGGTCTAAGCACTGGTGTTGAACCAGAAAATGAGTACGTTGGTGGTGGTAAACAAAAGAACTGGTGCTGGGTTATAGCCTAGAAATCTAGACAGACCCTAGCAGAGCAAACGGATTTAGCTCTGCAGGTCGGCCTAGCTCCATAGGAGCCTCAGCAGGTCCAAACAGTCTTGTGTCTTGCCACTCGTAGCTATTGGTAATGGTTTGGTGGGCGGGGTGTTACTGCGACTGAGCAAAACAACAAAGATGCAATAGCTCATTGGAAGTAGCTTTGGCATCCACTTTGGACTACTTATATGTGTGCTTTTCTTTGAGTCAAGAGCAGATAGAGGTACTTAAGAAAACTTAGAAAAAGGATGTATTTGTGTCTTCAACAGTGTATGGTGGACTGCCCCGTAGACTGACGGTGAGGATGTCATGTTGTTTGAATCCAATTGTGTGTGGAGACAATTTGAAAGAAAACCAGATTCCACCCCACGACTGGGCTCCATGGGTCATGGCCAGACTAAGACGGCAGCTCAGTAGAGGTCAGGGTGATGATTGAAATTCATCTCGTGCTTTTGAGGTACCAGAGATGAAGGTAAAGGGGATGAGCTGGAAACGTGAAACTGGCGGTGCACCATTTCCAGGAATTAGAAGTTACCCAGGTCACAGCTGACCTTCAGTCGTCAGACTGCACGAGTCTATGGGAGAGCCCACTAATGGGATGTAGATCTGTCAGGCGTTTCAAATCCTAGATTCCCGGTCTATTTTCCATCACAAGCTAATGCAGGAGATCGGTGTAGGAGACCGTTTTCATGTTCAGCCTGAATGAAAAAGTCAGCGGCCAATTAAAATCCAGAAACAATCATTAAACATGCGTTTTCAGTGCCCCACATATTTAAATCAAAAATGTAAAAATGACTAAAATAACAAAAGCAAAGACACTTTTCCTTCTATCTCTGCCAAAAGATGCAGCTCCATGTCCCACCCTGGTTCTGATACAAACCACAGCTGGAATACACCACATACAAATGTTAGTACAGCTGTTGTAGACGGATCTGATCATGTGTGTGTGTGTGCGCGTGTGTGTGTGTGTGTGCGTGCGTGCGTGCGTGTGTGTGTGTGTGTGTGTGCGCGCGCGCGTGCGTGTGCGCACACGTGTGTGTGCGTGTGTACCCTTTAAAAAAACATACAAACCATTGACTGGAAACTAATTTATTAATGAAGCGATGAGATTTAACGAGTAGTATCTGAGACTACACAGGCAGCAGGTTTTACCAAGTAAAAAAACATAGAAAAGAACTAATAGTCTTCTACATTAAAGCATTCATCTAGACAGTTATATAAGAAATATCATCTCTGTTGGTAAAATACTTTGGCAGACAACAAATAGACACTATATGCACAGCCTGAATAAACGAAGACTCTTAGATTTGATTGTTTCCATTGCCAATGACGGATGAATCAGTGAATATCTGAACCTTCAGGAGGAACTCGGTGAAGGTTCCTAAAATGACGTGCAAGCAACAAATGGAAAAGCAGAACAGTGAATTCAGAGATCTGGTATTAGATCATTGCTGTTTGGTCAGAGTCCAAACAGGCTCCACCGGCTGGTCGCCGTTGGTGGCGCCACAACAAAAGCCTTCAATACTCTATGTGATCAGACTTGTACTCTACCACCCTCCTCACCGAGTCCAGAGCAGCAACAGTGTGTGTTAGACCAGAGGATTGTTTGTGAAGCTGAATCACACTTTATCCGATCATGTGATGCGTCTCTGATGACATCAGTCACATGGCAAATTCAGGAGGAAGAACACCGACTAGTTCTGAAAGGCATGAAGAGGCAACAGCACCACCTAGTGAACACTGGCGTCCCTTCCCCGGGTCAAAACGACAGAACACCCGATTTAGAGCAGAGGAGGAAGCATTTTGGCAAAAATGAGTATCTAGATATCAGCGATCCTTCTAAATGACGTGTGTGCACGAGTACAGCGAGGCACTCTCGGTGGAAAACAAGAACTAACGTACAGTAAAATAACATTTAACACCATCTTGTGATTACAATCGGAAAAGTAACTATCAGAATAAAGTAAGAAATAAAAGTATTTGTTTGGTCTTGGCTTGTTAAGGTTTGCGTGATCTGACAGTAAAATGCACAGGAAAGCAACCCAAGTGGATGAACAGGAATGTGATCATTGTTCACGCTCAAACAATCGCATTTGTTCTTTCCAAAATACACGACAGATGTAACTAAAACAGCCACACGGGATCAGTGAAGCTCACTGTACTGTCACGCTAAAGAAACATTAAAGTTGTGTGTTTAGCTGAAGTCTCGATCCGTCAGCACCAGCGGGGCCACCAGGGTCCAAAGGTAGAGGGCCAAGCCGATCCAGCTGGAGCAGATCTTCACCCACACAGCTGGGATTGTAGTCTGCATGGCTTCATAGGCCGTGTCTGGCCTGGTGAGTCAGAGGGGGCGGAGTTAGAGGAGCATCCCTAGGGAGACACCACTGAGCAGCTAACCGCTGACACTTACCTATACCAGTTAGTGAGAGTCATCATGATGTAGAGGGAGGCCAGGAACAGGCTAAAGTGGAAGAAGGAGTAGCTGTAGGTCACGGCCTCCTCCTCGTTGTCCACCGCTCGTCGGACTCCGTCCTCCCCCACTGCCGACTCGTCCTCGGCGGTCAGACCCTGGCCTTCCTCTGTCTGCATTAGCTTGTTGACTTGGGCGTTGTTGGAGGAGCGGATGCTGTGGGAGGAGACAATTCCACAAATGAAACCCAGTAAAGCAGAAATCTGGAGTTTTGTCAGAGGGCGCCATCCAGAGGCCCACAAAATGCACTGCACATGTAAGCCCCTCTCCCTACTTCCGTCACTACGCCTGCTAGCAAAGCATCTCGTTAGTGAACACGCACGTCTAGCTGGGCAACGGCGCTAAAAATACATGAGCTGGTTTTAAAGGACAACTTTTGTTTCTGCGATGCCTGAAGTTATCGTCCATTTATGGTTAGAGGCGAAATCCTCAATATATCGTGAAACTGATCCATATCGCCCAGCCCTACGTCACATATTTATTTTTTACTAGTTAAGCTACTGAAAATCTGCAGGAGACTTTTATTTTGAAAGTTTACAAATGTTTTACACTGCTTTTGTGTTTGACTTCCTGTGTGACCTGATCTGAGCTGCAGAGTTTAACGTGTTCTGGAAGTGTAGCGCGTAAAATAGACTCAAAGCTTCGTGCACCTACGCAACTAACGCACCCATCCACTACGGTGGCAGCTAACTGCTGCGTGCTACGTTTAGCAGATTTTGCACGTTTTGATCACTTTTACAGATTAGCAGTTGCAGCCAAAATTATAATTCTGAGCAGCAGTGACTAAACTCAAACTATTGAAAATTATTTAGTCATTAAAATATCCACAGAAAGTAAAAGAAAGAATCACTCTGAAGTGGACTACCTGGCATAAAGTGTGCAGAACAAGAAAATCAGCAGTCCCACGATGCTCTGAGCGTCCCACCACTGCACATGTCCAGGTGCCTGAGTAGGTCCTGGTGCAGGGGTGGGACTGGTGGGCTGGACCAGACTCAACAGGCTGGGGTTACACTGTCGGTCTGAAGCAGGAACACACATTCAAACTGTTAACAGCAGACAGGAAGGATAGTTTAACTTCCCAATGGCAGGACTCACTGGGGTTGTTGGTCATGGCTGACCAGGTGAGGTACATGGTGTAAAGGGAGATGAGGGAGGCCTGGAGCAGGCCTGAGGTGGGCTGAGCTTCCTGGGGACAAATGGAGCGACTGATATTAGTTTTGTTAGTTATTTAGATGGTTCTCAGGTGAGTCAGTCGTCGCACATCGTTAGAATATTTCCATACGCTTTGTTACTCGAGTTGCTGACATGTTTTCACCGCTGAGTCATGAGGGAATGTTGCAGACACGTTTAATGAAGGTAACACGACTGCAAAAGCAGCAACACGCCTGATCTCTCTGAATTACTGAAATGGATTTTGGTCCTTTTAGAGTTCTGAGATGTGAATAGAGCTCATAAACAAAAACAACCAAAACACTAGACCAGGATGTCTTCTGAAGCATCTACATTACCTGGACTTTGGGCAGGATGGACACAACGGACACAACGATGCAGAAGATAAAGTTGAGGCTTATGAAGACCTTGTGCTCCGTGCAGTCGTCTGGTAGGGTGTAAAACAGATAGAAGAGGACAACAGCAGCAAGAGCCAGCGCATAGTGGATGAAGGTGAAGGACAGCAGAGCTGCGGGCAAAAAATAGGTAACTATGGCAACTCTGACACAAACAATGCTTTATTTAGTTTGCAACTTTCATGTAAGATATTAAACTTAACAACAAAACAAGGCATGTGTCCACATCTCAGGGAAGTGTTTTGCCTCTCTACCTGCAAACCAGCACTTTGTGTTTCCATTCTCAGCCTTCTCCAGCCAGGACTGGTTCCAGGAATGGGCGAAGTCCACCAGCAGGATGAGCTGGATGATGATGAACATGAACGAGCCCACCACGCCAAAGTAATACCACACTGGGATCGAGCAGAAAATGGTTCCGATAAGTTACAGTTTCACAGAAATGTGTGTTTACTCAAGAAAATCCTCCGTCCATGTACTCACATGTAC